TGAAGATGATGATTGATGTTCAGAGATATAAGTTTCTAGGTTTCATTTTGTAAGTTGGGATGAGCATGACAATTTTTTTAGGTTTTAAATTAGTTTTTAAATTGATGTGTGTGTGAGAGAGACAGTGTGATTATGTGTAGAGATCTGTTTGAGATATAAGTTTCTAGGTTTCATTTTGGAAGTTGGGATGAATATAACAATTTTTTTAGGTTTTAAATTTGAGAGAGAGAGAGAGAGAGAGAGAGAGAGAGAGAGAGAGAGAGAGAGAGAGATTTTCATTTACAAACCATTAAAAAAAGGTATATTGTTTCAATTTCAACAAAATCTTAACCTTTATTTTCGACGGCCTTCAAACTTGAGGACCATCCATCCAACAAATTTCTCATAAGGACCATCTATGGTACTTTTTGTAAACTATTGGGACATTTTTGAAAATTTTTCTAATTATTGGAAAGGGAATCGAGCTTTTGTACAAACTCCAATCTTTTATCGTAAATCCAGAGATCCACCCCTGAGAGCAAAAATCGTTCTGCGGCTTCTTCCTCATACTCTTCTGTACTCAAGGTAGCTTCTTCATCTCCATCTCTGCCTTTTCTCCTTTATGCTAACCCTAATTCCTCCATCTTTGATGCCGACCGCCATTGTTAAACGGATTTGGTGATTGAGTACGGTTGTTGGTTTCGGAAATTGGTTGATCGGAGCAACCAAGTTCCGCCATTGTTACTCTAGTTGAGATACTAGATTGGTAGAATCCGAATGTTTTATCGATCAGTTTCTCATCTTCAGTCTAGTTACTGCTTTTCTTATTACTGGTTTTCTCTTTTAGATCAACTCTGCAGTTCTGCTATTAGTATTTTTGAAAATTACACAAACTTTTTGTTGTTACAATGCGTTGCGATGATTAACTTATGCACGTGATTTCAAATATTTTTCCTTCATTTTGCTTCGAATTTGTTATCTGTAATTTGCAACATGTAGTTCGTTTCGTGTCGGCATTTGCAATTTGACATTTTAGTTCTAGGTCGGTTGTCTTGGAGAAAAAAACTTGAAAGTATAAAATTACAACGAGAAAATGCAAGCCATGATGGAGAATTGAAATAGAAGTGCTAAATAACTGGACGCCTTTAATCCTATGCTCTGGTCCATCTTCTTCACTTTTTTAAATTCCTTACTTGCAGATCAACATCATCCACCACGTTTTTCTCATCATTCAGTCAGGTTGGTGTTTGTTTTGTAAGTAAACTCATTGTGTGTAAAACAGATATGCCACCTTTATCCTTGTATGACTGTGCTTTATGCTATCAATGTGTAACATATGAATGATGCTCTAACTCTAAAAACTCAGTTTCCTCTCCTCTAATGGGAGACCTGCTTAAGCTGCACATCAATCATTGATTTTTGGTGCATATGCATATTGATTTCAGGTTATTGTAAAGTTGAGGATGAATTACTTACTTTGGCAGTTGCTAATTGTTAATATGGCTTAGCTGAATCATTTCAGCTTTTAGATTTGGGTACAAAGTCATTTGCATGTTTCATGTGCCAAATAAGACATTAAGAAGCCTGATGTCAATTGTCAAGTTAATTGAGTTCTGATTAAACTTTCTACTGCATATAAGCACCATCATTAACTTAAAGGTGTTATTTGATTGCTTGAGTCTTACATTTTATTTGTGTTTTCTATAATTGGCAGGTTATAAAAGCTAAGTTGCAGAGTATATCCAATGGGATATATAGGTGTTCATGGCATAAATGCACTTCACAAATACAAATACAGTGGAATTGATCACTCTTATCTTGCAAAATATGTCCTACAACCATTTTGGAGTCGATTTGTTACTTTCTTCCCTCTTTGGATGCCGTAAGTGATGTTCACCTTTTTCTCTTCATACAACATACATACTTATTGGTGATTCTTCTTTATGTATGTAACTAATTTTTTTTGTCTTCTTGCTGCATGTCATGGATGCTTTAGGCCCAATATGGTAAAATGCCTTTTCAACTATCTTATCTTGCATTGCTATATAATCTGAAGCTTTTTTTTTCCTTGTTTTGTTTTCTTACACAGATTTCTTCTCTTTTCAGATAACACTAACAGGCTTCATGTTCTTGCTCATCTCCGCATCACTTGGCTATGTGAGTTTGCTTTCATCTTTGTACATAAACAAACATTTTTAACTATTACTTTTTGCTTTTGCTTTTGTTCTAACTTGTAGTTTATGTTTGGGAATGTTTTAGATATACTCACCTCAATTAGATTCTCCACCACCAAGATGGGTTCACTTTGCTCATGGATTACTCCTCTTCTTGTACCAGGTTTTGTTCACCTTTATCAAATTATGTCTTTATTCTACATTTCATATTTTCATTAGTTAAAGTGGAATAGAGTTGTCTAGGTGTTCATTTAGGTGTTATTTCTTTATTAACAATGTTCAAAACTCCTGTATGTTGATTCTAGACTTTTGATGCTGTTGATGGAAAGCAAGCTAGAAGGACAAACTCATCTAGTCCATTGGGAGAGCTTTTTGATCATGGTGATTATTATTTGTAAATAATGTTTCATATTGTTTGCTAATAATGTAAACTTATGCCTTTTTTTTTGTAATTTTTGCAGGATGTGATGCACTTGCATGTGCAGTATGCCTTCTTTGTTTCTCAAGTCTATATTCAAAAGCTGTCAATTGTTGTCCAATTGTAATTTATTAATGTATGAATTATGATTCAGTTGGAAGCATTGGCTTTTGGAAGCACTGCTATGTGTGGAAGATACACATTCTGGTTTTGGGTGATTTCAGCTGTTCCTTTTTATGGAGCAACATGGGAACAGTATACAAAAGTTTTTTTTTTTTTTTTTAAATTTTTTTTAGAATTGATAAATATAAGTTTGCTGAAGTTGGTTTTGTTGTTGCAGTTACTTTACAAACACATTAATCCTTCCAGCAGTAAATGGACCTACAGAGGGTCTCATGCTGATCTACGTGGCACATTTCTTCACTGCTATAGTTGGTATGCAACTCTTAGGCTTCTAGAATCTTCTATTCACTCCTTTTGTAACATTATTTAATTGTTTATTTATTTATTCACATGATCATTTTAATTTCAGGTGCTGAATGGTGGGCACAAGATGTTGGGAAGTCTATTCCCCTTTTGGGTTGGGTTCCTTTTATAGATGGTCTCTCTCTCTCTCTCACACACACAAATTTTCCTAATCTTTTTATATGATGTTTTATATTATTAAATTCAGGAATCCCTACATATGGAGCAGTTTTGTTTTGTATGATAGTATTTGCAGTTATACCAACACTCACATTCAAGTAAGTATATATCTTTTTCTAAAATAAATTTACTTTTCTTTTATAATCATTTTCCTTTTTTTTTTTTTGGTTTTAGTGTGCAGAATGTTTACAAGGTTGTACACATGAGACATGGAAGCATGCTAAAGGCCTTGGCTATGGTAATAAGTAATGACAATTTTTTTCTTAATCATATGGCTCATGTCTTGATTGTTAAAAGACTTATTTGCCCCTCTTTATCTTTTCATGACAGCTTGTCCCATTTGGTGTACTCTTGGCAGTAGTTCTTCTGTGGTATGACTATGTGCCTTTTTCTATTTTTCTTACTTTCCAAAAATTTAAACACTTTAGAAAGATTTTAGGATTTGTCATTTTAAGGCATTATATATGTATAGGGATTTTATGTCTCCATATGATTTGATTGGGAGTTACCCACATATGGTTGTTATGGGAGTTGGATTAGCATTTGGGTTCCTTGTGGTAAGATTCTGTTCTATGTGGAATATAAAACTCAAATTACAAATTATAAACTGAAAATTAAATTTATAGTTTTTTTTTTGGTTTCTTTTTGAAAATTAAATTCATGTATTTGCAGGGAAGGATGATATTGGCTCACTTGTGTGATGAGCCTAAGGGATTAAAAACTAGTATGTCCATGGTAAGTTTTAATTAAAGTATTTACTTATCACATCTTTTAAATAAGTCATTGATATGATTTACTAATCCATTTAATTTTCCTTTTTAGTCCTTGTTCTATCTCCCGCTTGCTATTGCAAATGCACTCACTGCCTTGTTGAATGAGGGGTATGTGGTCTTCTAACCTATAAATATAATCCCACTTTTTTTTTTTTTCATCTTCTAATGCTAGAAATAGCAACATATTTCTCACTCATTTGTTTATTATAGGAAAGTCTATTTGCTATAATAATAATTAGTAAACAAAAAATAAAATAAAAGTACATCGCTGTTTGTTGCATTTGATTGGCTAAAAATGGTTATTGAAATATGTGGGCAGAATTCCCCTAATTGATGAGAAATGGGTTCTGCTAGGTTTCTGTCTATACACAGGTATCTAAAAATCAAACATTATTACTTAAAATTTTGATGAAATTGTAATTGAATATATACTTTTTTCATGAATATCGCTCAGGTGCACTGTATCTACACTTTGCTACATCAGTTATTCACGAAATCACAACAGCACTTGGAATCTATTGTTTCAGGTATAAACCATTTTAAAATTTTTTTTTTTCTCTTGATTATTTGGTTGCTAACTATGTGGTAAAAATAACAGGATCACAAGAAAAGAGGCTTGAGAAATTTGATTGCAGAAAATTCATGTGTATCCTTACTGTGTTTTTGGTGCGACTTTTGCTACACACTTGATGTTTTTTTTTTGGTAGGAAAAATTTACAGTTTAATCGTTTAGTCTGCTTTTGCATTTTTTTTTTTTACTATAAGCTGTAAGGTTACTTTTTATGATGTGGTGCTTTTGGGAATGGAATCACACTTTCCCCCAATCTCCAAAATGATTGTGCAATTTCAAATAGGCAAATATGAAGGATATGGAATTTAAGCGCGTGATGATTGGTATTGGATGTATTATTGGTAAGTGTGGTCAAATCAGGTGTCTTTTTGTAGAAAAAAGGATCCCTGCCTAATAGTGGCTAGTGCCTAGGGATAATCGAAACATTTTTGTTGGGATCCACTCAGAAGGTAAATTACAAAAGGGTGGATCAATAAGATGTTGTCCATTAAATGTTACAGTTTTTGATTTGTTTGCTTGTGGATGCGTTGATTCTAAAGTTTCAAATATAAATATCTAAAATTTCAAACATCAAATATAAAGTTCCAGATGAAATATAAAGTACAAGTTCCAAACATCAAATATGAAGTTCCAAACAAAATAAAAATAAATGGCTTAAAATAGATAGTAGAACAATTTACAGGAGAAATTAATTAGAGAGAAATATAATAAGACTTCCAATAGTTGCAATAACGACAAGAGTGAGGAGAGAGTAGGCAAGGGTGTGTCAGTGTTCTAGATGCTTAAACAGAACGAAATCATGAAGAATGGACTAAACGAGGGGACTTTTGAGATATTGAAATCGAGAAATCGATGTCAGCGAAATATGGAATATCACAATACTTATTTATTTATTTTATTTTTATTATTTTTTTTCAATTTGTTTATTTAATTTATAAAGTAAAAAGAAATATAATATGTAAATTAATACATGAAATTCTATAATTCGGTTTGGTTTGGTCCGAATTCCACCGGACTATAACTCAAACCATAAATCAAATCTATAATTTGGTTTCCAAAACCAAACAAAATACCGAATTTGAAATTTGATTTGGTTGGAGTTCGGTTTCGGTTTTCGATTCCAAATCAAATAACACCCCTTGTAATTTGCTCACTCTTTAAATTGAAATGACTATTGTATCTTTCTAACATATTTTTTACATTTTTTTTATTTCAAACTATTGGGCACATCCACCACCCTCTCTCTCCACGATTTGCAATTTTTTTTTTTTTTTTTTTTTTTTTTTTTTACTTCTAAGGCTGAAAGAAGTGAGATGACAAGGAGCTAGTCACCTCCGACATAGATCTTGGCATGCCGTGGGCTCACTGCATGTCTTCTCTTCTTGGTAAGAGGCAAAAAAAAAAAAAAAAAAAAGCCTTGATCGACATTTGTTCATCGGGTTTCTCTCCAATGGCAAGTGTTTGGTTGATATGGGCACGAGTTTGGAGTTTGGGAAGAGGTTGTGCTACCCATATGGCCATATTTTTATGGCCAAATTTTTATAAAATCATGTAGTTTGTCAATTTTTTGGTTTAAGTTTAACCCTTCCTAGATGTTTGTTATGATCTAACTTCTATCAAAACTAATGATGTAATACTTTGAATTATATATAAACCACTGTAGTTATATATATATATATATATATATATATATATATATATATATATATATATATATATATATATATATATATATATATATATATATATATATTTTTATCTATTCACTTGAATTATTCTTATGATTTGACAACACCATTTTTTTAATAATATTTTCTCTATATAAATCCACTTTAACCGAGTATAAAGGGTCCGATTATATTAATGATGTGTCAAGATTTTTTTTCCCTATAAAACATTATACTTGTATGGACTTTAATAAAATGATGTGAAACATAAACCTCCCCCCTTCACTGGAACATCCCTACCATCAACTACCGCAACTATTGGTCAAATGATTAGGGTGACGACTTTCCTCTTCATGATTTGGGACATAAAACCAACTTTTTCTCCTAAGTAATGGGTTCATTTCATTTTTTTTTTGACCCATTGTCCCATACGCCATATGAAGATAACTAGATTCATTTCCGAACTATCTATCTAAGTGGTAGAGCTAAGACCATTTGTTATATCCATCACATACCATATCAATATCATATTCTTCTACCACTAACATGAGATACCTATCATTAAACACGCCACTCCACCTTATTTTTTATTTATTTAAATTTAATTTAAAAATACACTAAAACACAATAAAACAATTTTTTTTAAACTAATTTTTTATTCAATGAAACAAGATTACATTAATTTAAAACAAACAACATAAAATAAAAAAAACATAATAAACCTTAAAAATACAACCATAAACAACTTAAGCTAGTTTTTAAACCTTATTTTTAATCACTAAATTTTGGGCATTCTCTTCATTTTCGCCAAGCTTTGACGTGTTTAAATGGTGTGTGTTTCGTATCTTCATATTGGTGAATGGTCACAGCAAACGGGTCGCCTTCATATATGTTGTTTATAATAAAGTTATAAATACCATTGAATTCAAGACATTTAACCCTCATATCGCGATACTTCAAACATATTTCATCAAGACTACGACTTTGACAACCCATTAAATCATGTAAAACGTTTCCAACTTTTATCTAAAAATTAGGAGGCGTTACTGGGTCTTCTGAAGCTGTTACCCATGCTCGTGCTAAGTTCTCTTCTTCATTTTCTGATAAATTCATCTTTTTAGGAGCCATTGGTTTTGGAAAAATGCAAAAGAAGTATGTGATTTTGTGAGAAAAGAAAGAAGAAATTGTGTGAGTATATTTAATATAAATGTGGTATTTATAGAAGAAGTTTAATATGTTTGAAAATTACAAAAAAAAAATAATAATAATAATAAATAAATATTCCGTTACAAAAGAAACTAGCCATTGCAAACATCAACCAATAGCTATTTCCATTTGATTTTGTGGAACACACAACGAAACACCACAACCACAATCGACCACGACCGGCCGGGATGGTGTGCACAGTCATGGTCGTGATCCACGTATACCATGAGCCATCTCGTGCTTTGTATTCCAAATGGCCTAATAGGGGAATATATGAGTGCTGAGCCCTCCACAATCTATCTCTTTTATTTGGACTAAAGTCAACAACAAACTAAAACTCACTAAATATTGTTCATTTAAGTCTCGTTAATTCATAAATTAATATTTGTTAAGCCCTCATTATTCAAAAGGTAGTGATCCATACACAATAATTTTTAGCCATACATAACAATTTTTGTTTTATGGAGTTGTATGGTACAAATATATAAAACACAAATTGTTATGTATGACTAAAAATTATTATGTATAGTTAAAAATTGTTGTGTACGGATCAATACCATTATTCAAAACTTTTATATTCAAATTAAAAGAAATCTCAAGATGATTAAATCAGATAAAATACAAAGCTACAATAAGTCTTATATACAGTTTCCCTTTCTTAAGCTAATATATTTACCTTATTTTACTTAACTTCTAAACAATAAAGTATAATCCAAGAGCCAAAAATTGTTAACAAGACGAATATTTTAGTACAGATAGGTGCAGTTTGACATGGCCTGGGACCCACGTGGGGTCCATAAACGCCTTTAATATTCGAACTCTGAATTATGTATCACTCCCTCACGTCACCCCGTCTCCATTACAAACAACTCCCATTGCCGGAAAACTCAAAACACTTGATAATCCATGGCCACTGCCGCCGCCGGTCCCGCCTTTGCCTTCTCCACCGTCACTATCCGTGGTAATTCTTTTGCTAGACTTTCCGGTTTCGAATTTTCATATTCAACGATTCCTCAGCTTTCTCCGTTCAAGTCGTCTTCACCTCACCTCGTTTTCTCTCCGCGTGGATCATCTCATTTTGTTAGAAAGTAAGTTTAGTATCTGGAAAAATTTGGTAAATTAAGCCTGTTGCTGATTGATCGTCACAGATTTTGATGGAAATGATGTTTTGATCTACGAATGAATGAAAAATCGTGTTTAATCATGTAGTATGTGTGGTTTAACTGACTGATAGTTAGCTTCAATTGTTTACTTGTCAATTTGTTTTTTCGATTGTTCTATAAACTACGAGGGTTTTGCGAGAAATTCCGTATGGTTTTTGTACTTCAGATAAAGTCAAAGTGCAAGAGGTGAAAATGATATAAACGAATTGACCTAATCAGGATCACTATTTCTGATAATACGTTTTCTGTCAATACTTTTGTTGCTAAGCAGACATTTTCTTCATAGAAGATCAAAAACGTTGTTAATAGTAGTGGATCGATAGGTACGTTCTGATTTGTGCTAATTTGGGTTGATAATCGGGTTAGATTGAACCGGTTACTATTTGTTCACCTTTCACACAGTTTGACCAAAAATGCAGACAGTTTTGTAAGCCAGATGTCTTAATCAAACTCTGTTCAGTACTAATTGAACTGTTATGCAGGAACATTTTTCAAGCTTCCATTGATGGTGTCGACTCACTTGGTGTAAGCTCTTTGGTCAGTTTCTTATACTTTATCTGCTATATAATCCAAATTCTTGTTCTTCTTCTTGACAATAACATTGCATCTCTGTTACATAATCTTAAACAGGATGCTGACAATATTCCTACACCAATTGTTTTAATTGATCAAGGTTCTGATCCATCTGCAACTATTGTACATGTTAGCTTTGGTGATCGTCTTGGTGCCCTCATTGATACGGTAAATGACAAGTATACTTACTTTTTTGACCATAATACCCTTGTTGTTCTGAACAAACAACAAAATTTCTGTAAATTATAGCTAATAAGCTTGCATATGTGATGCAGATGAAGGCGTTAAAGGATCTAGGCTTAGATGTAGCAAAAGGAACTGTTACAACTGAAGGATCAGTCATTGAAACAAAATTCTTTATTACTCGATTGTGAGTGTGCTTCATAGTAATTAGGTGTCAGTTTCTTTTTTTTATATAATGGTGTTATTTTTATAGATCAACTGGGCGAAAAGTTGAAGATCCTGATCTCTTGGAGAGAATCAGATTGACTATCATAAACAATCTGTTGAAGTATCATCCGGTATTTATACCTAACTGATGACCTAATTTATGAATAATCACTTCATATTTATCTGTTAATTCAGTTATTATGATCTATGAACATATATTTGGATTGATGCTTTCGTGTTATTTATGAATTTAAGGAGTCTAGTGCACGACTTGCAATGGGGGAGGCTTTTGGCATACAAGCTCCAGTCAAGAAGGTAATTTTCTTTAACAAATATATTGTAGAGATCACTTCAAGGGGCATTTTGGACTTTTGATCACTTATCTTTGTCATATATAAATTTTATAGAGATTAATAATAATAATAAACTCCTTCCTATAAATTTTATATCATTCAAATTAAAATTTGTATCTTGATGGCAGCTTGATAGAGATATAGAGACTCATATTCACGTCAAGGATGCTGGGCCTAAAAGAAGGTTAAGCAGCTATGCAATTTAGAGTAAATTTTCAATTACTAAAATAAAAAAATAAAAAATAAAATTAATAACTTTTTCACATTTTCAGCATTTTAAATTTACCAGTTTGTAATGTGTGTTTTGTTTTTTAGCTTGCTGTGTGTAGAGACAGAAGATAGACCTGGATTGCTTCTAGAAATTGTCAAGATAATGGCTGATGTCAATGTTACTATGGAATCTGCAGAAATTGATACTGAAGTATGTTAATGTTATTATTATTATTATTTTAAAATCTATAGAAAATACAAGGACATTTCAGTCATTTTCTCCTGTTTTTTTTATGGTGCAGGGGTTGATTGCCAAAGATAAATTTCACGTTAGCTACAGAGGGGCATCTTTAAACGATTCTTTGTCTCAGGTAATAAAATTGGTTTCGTTTCTTTTCAGAGAAAAAAAGTGAAATTACTATTATACCCTTTTGTAAACTGTTTAAATGGGCAGGTGTTGACGAATTGCCTACGCTATTACCTTCGAAAGTCAGAAACCGATGAAGATAGTTACTAACTAGGGAAGCACTTTCAATTCCAAAGCATGTGTCCTCCATGCATCATGCATGCTATCTGTAAAATTACACATAACTCCCTGTGCTTGTTTTTGTACACATTCCAGAATCATGAATGTATTCAAGAAGATAACCATTTCGTAAAGAAACTATCATGCTGTGACTTGTTTATAACTATGTCCAGTTCATAACTTCGAAATATCAAATAATATGATTCAGGAAGATAACAATTCACATATAAAAATAAACTATCATATTGTGATTCACTCTCATATCCTTAACATATGTGATAGGACCTATGTTTAATCCATAAAGTTTCATAGTATATAATTGGGAAAATTAAGTTGATAATTGGTTGTAACCGGCATATTGTTCATTTATACCAATGATGGATTAGTGTTATTGACATTGTAAATATATGGAGGAGGGGATGATGGCGATGGTGGAGGAGGAGATTTGTATACATAAGGTGGGGGAGGTGAGGGGGAAGATGGTGGTGACGACTTGTAAATGTAAGGAGGAGGAGATGGTGATGGTGGAGCAAAAGATTTGTGTACATAAGTTGGGGGAGGTGAAAGTGAAGGTGGTGAAGGTGAAGGTGAAGGTGATGGCAATGGAGGTGATGTGTAAACATATGGAGGAGGTGGTGAAGGTGAAGGTGGCGGTGGGGATTTGTAAATGTATGGAGGAGGAGATGGTGATTGTGGACGAGGAGATTTGTATACAAAAGGTTAAGGAGGAGAGGGTGAAGGTGGTGCTGGCGACTTGTAACTGTAAGTTGGAGGCGATGATCACTACAAACAATGTGTTATTTAGTGGCATACAAAAAGTGCCACTAAAAACCCTAACACATGCCACTAAAGGATTCTTATAGAATGAGCGACACACATAACAAGTGCTAGTAGAAACACTCCCATTAAAAACCTTTAGTGACACTTTTTGCTTTTGAGGTTAGATTTTTGTAACATATATTTATGTAATTGAATGCTCATTTTGATTAAAAAATTCAAGCTATTTTTAGTTACACGTTTTAAGATTTTACTGGCACTCTTTTATTTGTCCCAACACAAAAAATATTTTGTGGCACATTTGCACCGATAAATACTTATTAGATTCTATAATTTATATACTATTTATATCCACATAAATTTTATCTATAATATAATATAAAATAGATATTTAAATAGCATCACCTAGAAAATAATAAAAATTTCATTCTATCCAATGAAACAAACAATATTTTTTTTCATTCCAGTGGAATAAACCATTTCATTCCTTACACAATTCTATTATAACAAAAAAAACACTACTGTAATAACTCAAAAACAATGATAATTTTTTTCATTTGGAAGACCAACAATTTCATTCATTACATGTTTCAAAAACCATCACCAGCATAATATCAAAACATCAGAGTACAATTATTCAATATGCGGAAAATCATAAGGAGATTATGTTGTGCCATCATGCCGAACCCTTCCCTTTCGAACCCGAAGTACCCGAAACCATAAACATAAACTATAAACACAAAGCTTAGGGAGTTCCCCAAAGTGCCATATACCAATCATACAACTGGGCTTAACCTTGGGATGTATTCCAACCCGATACACATATATGGGCCCAACCCTGGGGTGTATTTCAACCCTGATCAACATATATGGGCCCTGCCATGGGTATATTTCAACCCAATCATACCATAGTGAGCCCCACCCTATGGTATATTTCAACCCAATCATACCATAGTGGTCCTCGTCCTAGGGCATATTTCAACCCGAACATGCAAACATATATAAGCCACATAACAACTATCATTCTACATAACACAATAATGGGTCAGTATTGGTGTCTTCAACTCATAGATACAGTGAGAAAACTCACATCACAGATGGAGGAAAAAGCTAAAAAATACACTGCTTTAAAAACCAACTCTACCGGTTACCTTTACAGATAACAATGACCAAAACTCAGACTATAGTTTAAAATACTCAAAATACCCCTAGGTGAAATTTGGTTAAAATCCAGGTCAAAGCCAAAAGTCAACCGAGTTAACCGGGCCAACTTGGTGAGTACGTTGGGCGTACTCAATCTGTACGCGAAGCGTACTACATGTTTGATCAAGGGATTGTGGAGTTGACCATGTACGCACGACATACCCTTTTATACACCCAACGCACGCGACTACCAACCCTCCTTCCTATTAAGAGCTTAATCCCTTAATCCTTTTTGTCCAAAACCCATAACTAGTCCTTAAATGTTGTTCTTAACCATAAAGTTTTCAACTTTATGGTCTTGCATGGCTATTAAGACCTCAACATCAAAAACCCTAGCTTCTTGACTCATTAAGGCAACCTAGATCATGCATGGAAGGCAGCTAATGCCCAAGATCACATTTTTATGACTTATCACACCCTAAAACATCTGAAAGGACAACTCAAAGGTCCTGGAGTATTCCATACTCATAAGGATCAAGATTTAGGGAAAAAAAGGTGCAACTTTTAAGATAGAACAAGATCTAAAGGAATACTAATAAAGGTAGGAGCTTTATACCTCCAGAAGATGCACAAGGTAGTGTAGTTATTGGATCCAAAAGCTTGAGTGAAACACCACATCTTTAAGAGTATTCTTTTACCACTAAGATCACTAAAATGGCATCAAATGGCACTCCAAGGCTTCAAAACACACCCACACACTTTAGGGTTTCAAAATGGAGGTTAAGAGAGATGGGTGCTGGAGTTAAGAAAATGTATGAGGCCATAATGATGCTTAAATATGGTCCGAACCCTAAAACATAGGGTTTTTGCACCCTGGTCACGTACGCCTAACGTATGCAATCATGACGCAAAATTACAAAAATGCCACTTGGGACTAGTTTTAAAACAAAATTCCAACCAAGGGTCAAAATGGAATAACTAAAAATCAAGATGTTACAACTTTCCCCCACTTGAACTAGGCTTCGTCCTTGAAAACTATTGCCGCGAATAACTCAGGGTAGTGGTCTCGTATCTCTGCCTCGGGCTCCTACGTCCATTCGGAACCCATCCGATGTTTCCACTGGACCTTGATCAAAGACATCACTTTGTTGCGCAACGTCTTCGTCTTCCTATATATCCAAGATCGCCATCGGTATCTCCATATAATTCGAGAGATCATCAACCTGAATATCATACAAAGGGATCACTACCAGCTAATCAGCTACAAACTTCCGCAACTAAGAGACATGGAAGGTGTTGTGGATTTGAATGAGCTCGTCAGACAAATCCAACCGATATGCAACCTTGGCCACCCAGGCAAAAATCCTAAAGGGACCAATAAATCTGGGGCCCAACTTGCCTCACTTCTAAAATCGGCACACCTTTCTATGGTGAAACCTTTAGAAGCACTAAGTTCCCCACCTTAAACTTGAGGTTTGAATGTTGTCGGTCTACATAACTCTTCTGCCAGATTTGTGAGACTCGCAACTTGTCGCGTACCTGCTGAATCAACTCAGTGGTATTGAGTACCACTTCAATACACCCCATGAACCAATGCCCGACCTCCCCCAACAAACTGGGGTCCTACACCTTCTTCCATACAACATCTTAAAAGGTGGTTGGTCAATATTGGTATGATAACTGTTGTTGTATGAGAACTCGACCAGTGGAATGTAAGTATCCTAAATCCCTCCAAAATCTAATACATATGCCTGTAGCATTTCTTCGAGCATATGAATTGTCCGCTCGCTCTGACCGTAGGTATGGGGGTGGTATGATGTATTAAAATGCAACTGAGTACTCACATCCTCATGAAACTTCCGCCACAACCTGGAGGTGAAACTAACATCTCGGTCCGAAACCACCGAAATTGGCACCTCATGCCGAACCACCACCTCCCAAATGTAGATGTCAACTAACTTCTCAGCCAATATACTCTCAGAAATCGGTATACAGTGTACACTCTTGGTTAATCTATCAACAATGACCAAAATCGAATCAACTCCATGTGCCATACTTGGCAGCTTTTGTAACATCCCGGAAATCTGGTCATAAAATTTTTTGTTTTTAGATTAATAAATTGTTAATACAGATTGTTTTCATAAAACCAGAGTAACCAATATTTATCAAACCATCATAAAACCAGAGTAATTCATAGAATGCAGAAACATGTGGTGTGTGCTCCACAATCATCCCGAACTCTTCCATTTGAAAACCGGAGTACCTGAAACATAAACTAAAAATCGTAAGCACAAAGCTTAGTAAGTTCCCCCAAAATACCATACCACAAACAACCATAGATTATCATGCACATACATATAGTTTCCATGGGCTCCCTCCATGGTCTTTATCCAATATGCCATGGCTCCTCCATGGTCTTTATCTGGAATACC